AGCCACCAATGCCCAGCTAATTTTTTTTTTTAAAGTTGTGTGTGTCTGTGTGAGTTCATGTGCTCTGTATGTGTGCAAGTGCCAAATAATGTCAGAAGAGGGCATCAGATCCCCAAGAACTGGAGTTATAAACAGTTGTGAGTTTCCTTATGAAGCATTTATCTAGATTGTTCTAATATCAATAAAAACTTGGGAGTAGGATGTTGGGACAAAACCCAGTAGTTCAAGAAAGTAGAAGAAAGATCAGTTGACCCTCTCTAGGCTTCCTAGATGAAAAAGTCTGAGAATCTGTCTAAGCCCCTCCCTACTGTTTCCTTTGCCTCTCTATCATATCCTGGGTCTTCTAAAATCTCCATGGCTAATTCTGGTCAGCTAGTTGTTAACTCTGCCCCCTGCTTTAAGGTTAACTTTATTAACAGTCTCGAAATGTCACAGGCACCAAATATTCCTCCACAGCCTTGTAGGTACTAAGAACTGAACCCAAGTCCTCTGTTTACAAAGGATCATCTCTCCAGCCCTAAATAGTAAATCTTTAAAAACCAAATCTTTAAAATGTTTTTTAAAACTTTCATCATGGATATAACCCTCTATTCCCTCTCACCAACTCTCCAAGCAGCCACTCCAAAAAAAAACTACCACCCAGTGTCCTCTTTTTTCTTTTTTAAATAACTCATTGAGTCCAATATTTTTGCTGCCCATATACGAATGGGTGTTGGACAGTTCCCTGAAGCACAGGGAACACACTCCTTAAAACTCCTCTTCTAGCAGCCAGAAGCTAAAGATGGGAGCCCCTTTTCCCTCCATGTTGGAAATGTTGACATATTTGATTCTTTTTTTTTTTTAAAGATTTTATTTATTATGTATACAGCATTCTGCTTCCATGTATATCTGCACACCACAAGAGGGTACCAGATCTCATAATGGATGGTTGTGAGCCGCCATGTGGTTGCTGGGAATTGAACTCAGGACCTCTGGAAGAGCAGTTGGCGCTCTTAACCTCTGAGCCATCTCTCCAGCTCAACATGCTTGATCTTGTACTGGTTATATATAGGCCACCACAGCTGCTGTGAGGTCCTGAGTAAGTCTGAGTTGGTCCTATCGTGTTGAGTTATAAACAGTTGTGACTTTCCTTATGAAGCATTTATCTAGATTGTTCTTTTATCAATAAAACTGTTTGGCCTCAGTCTTCTCCACCTTTGGCTCTGGACCCTTAAGTGAGGAGGAGGTGGTATGAAGCAGATGTCTCATTTATAGTTGAGCACTCTACAGCCACTTATTTGCTGCATTTTGTCCAGTTTGAGTTTCTGTGTTAACCACCATCCATGGCACAAAGAAGCTTCTTTGATGAGGGCTGAGAGCTTTACTAATCTGTGGCTAGAGATTTTCATATGGAGAGCAGTTTGATGCTGTGGCGGATAGGTTCACCGACATTAATGCTACTGTTGTACTCATGGGCATATCTTATCAGGCCAGTTGTTAATGTAACACTTAGGGTAAGAGTATTGATGACTTCTTTTCCAGCAGCCTACATAGTACCTTCTAGTACTATGAAAGTCCACTAGCAGGAAGGAATCGTCTAGATCAGTACTAGCTTGATTTCTCCATGTCCTGTGACCACAGGTAATATGTTGCCTTCAGCAATAGGGTCTTAACTATCAAGTTCTGGTTGGCAGCCAAAGGCAGTGGAAATCGCCTGATTACCCCTGAGCAACGATATGAGGGGCAGTATTTTATACCCAGCATTGGGCTTATTTGGCAACCTGATTCTTCTTTAAAGAGCACGGTCTCCGAGTAGGATGGCTCTAGTTATAAACTCAAGCAGGCACGTGTGTGTGAGTGCATGTGTGTGAAGCCTATAAAATAGTAGGTTTCCACATCTGACTTTTCAAATATACTGTTAGATATTGCCTCACCTTCTTCTCTCCTCTATCTTTGCATCCTTCTCCCCCTTACACCTTCCTCCCAGTTTCTTCTTATTACTACCCACCTCCCTTAAAACCTTTCTGCTGGCCCCCCATAACCCCAACTAACTGCCCCTTCCTAGTTTCCTGACTTCCAAGTTAACCTTACTAAAGATTCCATGTTAGGACCCACATGTGCAAAAGCTTGGGACTTTTGTCTTTCAGAGTCAGGGTTGCCTCATTCAGTGTAATTCTTTGCAGTTCCATCCATTTACTTGCAGATTTTCTGATTTTCCATTCCTAAAGCTATGTAATTCCATTGTATATAGGCAGCCCCATTTTCACTATCCAGAATGCATCCTTTTATTATAATGACTGTCTTACTGAACTTTACCATGAGAATCTTATGAGTTAGGGTTAAAGAACGTGATACTTCTCTGTTCTGCCTACAGTTAAATTTATCTGTTAGTAGCAGCTATGCTCTTATTCCTGGATTTTTGGTTTTTCGAGACAGGGTTTCTCTGTGTCGCCATCACTGTCCTGGAACTTTCTCTGTAAATCAGGCCGACCTCAAGGAGATGGGATTAAAGGGATGCACACCACCGCCCAGCTCATTCCTGGAATCTTTTGAGCTTGTTTTTTTTATTTCTGAGTTCAAGTGCTCACCACTAAACAAACTCACAAGCTACCTACTCAAGGGATAAAGAAAGGTGAAGCTTTTAGGATCTTCTTTTCACCTTTAATTCCTATTTAACAATGGGTGGGTTTTGGTTTCAGTGGTCAACTATGGTTGCAGTTTACTGTGTTTAGTATCTTCTGTTGTAATGAATTTGGGGACCATGTATTATACACACACGCACACGCACGCACGCACGCACACGAGATTTGTTGTAAGCACGGTGAACCTTCCTCTTCATTTTCTTTTTCACAAGAACTCTTAAAAATGGGCTTTGATGGGGCTGGGTGATGGCTTGCTTGGTGAAGTGTTTGCTGTTGCAAACATGAGGACCTGAGTTTGGAATTTCAGCTTCCATATAATTGCTGGGGTAATGACAGGCTTTTGTAATCCCAGTACTGGGGAAGTAGAATGGGAGGGTTCCTGAGTCTTGCTCGCTAGCCCAATTAGCCCATTTAGTCGTTGAGCCTGAGGTCCAGTGAAAAGACAGATAAGGTAGGACTGATAGAGGCAAAACAGCAGATGTTGACTTCTGACTGCATCATGAAGTCATTCACTTTCACATACAAACATATACACCTTCTTCTCCCAGCATGTACAGAAAATACAGGCTTTCAAAATAAAGTAAAAATAGATTTAAGTTGGAAAAACTCAGTTTTGAAATTTGGTAGCCCATTTCATTCCGTATAATTATGCATAATGTATAGGGTGATTTTATTTTTTTAGGAATATATTAAATATGTGATTTTTTTCCTATCTAATATTATTGTCTTTCCAATAGATTTGCCATTTCTCCTAGGTATTTTGGACCCATCTTTTGTTTTGGCTTTCCTTTTTAAAGGTAGACTTAGGGTTAACTGGTACAGACTGAGGCTGCCATGCTTGGTGTCTGTTAGTTGTCATTTGCCTTCTTGAGACTTGGAGGTGCTGCAACAGCAAGCCTCACCTACTTGCTTTCTATTCTAGAATTTTGGGCCATCCACTTCAAAAAATATGCCAGTACTTCTGAAAACTTGAGTATTTGAGGGTTTTGTTTTGTTTTGTTTTTCCAAGCAGGGTTTCTCTGTGTAGTCCTGGCTGGCCTGGAACTCACAGATATCCTCCTGCCTCTTAAGTATTGGGATCAAAGGGGTGAGTGCCACCATCACTGGGCTTGAGGATTTTTTTTTTTTTTTTTAATATCTTTATGTCAGCAGTTTTCAACTTGTGGGTTGCAACTCCTTGGGGGGGGTCAAGTGACCCTTTGACAGGGGTTGCATACTAGATATTCTGCACATCAACTATTTACATTAATTTTATGGTTGGGGTCACCACAACCTGAGGAACTATATTAGAGGGTCATAGCATTAGGAAGGCTGAAAACCACTGCTCTGTATGGGAATGGGATTTTCTTTTTCTTTTTGAAAAACTTATTTTGGGCTGGGCCTAGCTGTTCTTTCAGAATTTTGTGTCTTAAGATGTGGCACGGGAAGCACTTCACTGTGTACATCCAGGGTGTTCACAATAAGCCAATTTTTGCTATTTCTTCTGTATTTTAGCACTGTATATTTAAGTGTAGTTGACTAGTTACCAGTAACATTATTTTAAAGTTGTAATTTGTTTAGCCTGTGGCTTATTCCTTTTCTAATCTAATACTTTGAACTCTTGATAGTTTAAAATGTCATTAAAAATGTCAAATAAGGAAGTTGTATTAGGCTTTATAATAATCAGTTCACCTTTTTATTTTCTACCTGCTGTGAGAATTCCAAGTGGATAGAAACAAGCTTTATGAATTAACATATAGTATCATAATACTTTAGTAGTTCTTAAAGCCAAAAGTAACATCCAATTTGAATATGTTGGAGTTCCATGTAATCTAAGATAGTCCATGTAATCTTACATGGTAAGTGCTGTTACGAGTCATTGTGAGGGTACATAGCTGGGGGCTTTACATTTCCTTTTTCTTATCCCTTGCTTCTTACATTTGCCTTTAAGTGTTTCTTGACTTCTGTATTTCAGTGAATGGTACCATATTGGGGAAATGTCTATCCTTATAATAAAAGGCAGTGATTAATTTAGAAAGAAAGGCAGTTTGATCTTTATCCTGGGAAGCAGTTTAAACATACAAGTTTGAACGTTGTTGCTCAGTTTTGAGGTAGCCTCAACCTCCACTTCTCAAAAATTCTAAGAATGATTTAGAAATGATGCATGCACATTTTACATTTTATGGAGGTTAAAATTCTTCACGTGAGAAAGTTTACCTTGGAGTTAATTATCCAATTTCCACTAAGGAAGTTATTTATACTATACTAAAATACAGAAACTAAAAGGCTTAAATCCTAAAAGATTTTAGTGAATGAACACTCAAGAGTAATACCTAGTAGGGTCAAATGTCTTTTGGGGGCCTAAAGTGTGTTAACTTCCTATATTTGATTTTCAAATAGACACCAAATCCTACTGCAAGCGAGTTTATACCTAAAGGAGGATCAACCTCCAGGCTGAGTAACGTGTCCCAGTCAAATATGTCTGCCTTCTCTCAAGTTTTCTCTCACCCATCCATGGGAAGTCCTGCTACTGCTGGATTAGCACCAGGTAAGTTGAGTAACTTTCCAGTGAGTTTCAGGTATCAAATCTTGTAAGCATTGTGGTTTTTTTTTTTTTTTTTTTTAATTTATTAGAATGAAATTGTATACTTGAATGATTCACTCTGCAACAAAGAGCATCTGTCTTAGCCTCTCAGCCTGGAGTCACTCAGAACTGGAATAACAAGCTTGTGTTACCAGGCAGGGGGTTATCAGCCCTGCCCCCTCCTCTCTTGCTTTCCCCACTCTTGCCCACCACTTACTCTCTTGCCACCTCTCTCCTTCCATTTGGTTCCTTCCCATGGCTTCTCCTGTGGGTATTTCCAGTTAGTAAACATTTTCAGCCCTGGAAAACAGTGTCAGAACTGAATGTCTGTTAGTGTAAAAGTGCATATAAGTGATGTAGTATTAGGAGTTTTCTCCCATGAGGTGGGTTCACAATTTTTACAAAAGCATAGTCAGGTGTTCTAGAGCATGTCTGTGCTTCTGTATAGCTTCATAAATTGCTGTTATGTGTTGATAAAGAATCAACAATAATGAGCTCCATAAGCCAATCGAAAAACATGGGTTTGCTTAGTTAGTTAATGCCTTATATCAGTAGTAAATACTGTAACATAGTTGTTAAGACTACTTGGGGTTGCCATTTTAAGGAATGCGGGTTTTCCGCATACTACAGCTTCATTACTCTGCCCCCTGCAAAGGCCTTTTTAAATGAGGAGGTGAGAATATTACAGGGTATTTAAATTTTAAAGCATTTAGCTTAGAAACATCCATAACCACTTTGTGGTTTTGAAGCTTTCTAGTAACTTGTAAGAGCTGTTTTAGAGGTTCCATATTTGAATAGCATGGTGCAGGCATGTCTGAGCCACAGCCCCACACAGAGTCTCACACTTACTTAAAGCATGGTGATTTTTTTCCATTTGTAACCCTTTAGCAGTTTAGCATGAGCTTTGTGGATGACATCTTGTTGCAGTGTCAAAAGGTTGGACCAGTACCTCTAGGATGAATTAGTTTTAGCTTAATTAAACTGATAAGTTGCGTATTCTCTTGCACAGCTAATTGTTAGAATGGTCACTCTTCCTCCTATTAATGACAAATAGTACCATCCTCTGGTACTACTGGAAGTAGGTCTGTATCCTATCAAGTAAAGTCGTGAACTGTAACAGCCATTGTGTCAGGGGTGTTCATTGGGATGCCAGCTGTCTGAGCTTAGAAACTGGGATGATGAGCGGTGCACTTAACACTTTCCTTCTCCTACCACTGTGTTAATGACTTAACTCTTGACATGAGAAAAGAAAAACTGAATTGTGCTTTTCTTTCAGAACACTGTTTTTAAAACCCTTCTTTGCCTTCCATTATTTTTTTCCCCCCATAAATTTTCAAGGCTTGGTAAAAGTGTCTTTTTGGTTATAACCCAGCATCTGTAGTCTTAGTTGTGTACACATTGAACTACGAGCATGAGCCACAGTTCTAAGTGTTCTAGGTTGTAGTATATGAATTTAAGGAATGAAAATTAGTTTGGGCTTTGATGTCTTTCAGAACCCCTGCAATTATATTCTTGTATTTTATTTACAAGTAGGCCTTTTCCTCTGGACATGGATTTTTATTAAGTTAATTTCTTAATTTCTGAAATCAAGGTCACTAGTTTACACCTTTCTCAGAAGTGACTTCTCAAGCACAATATAGTCAAAATACTGTTAAGAGTAGTGTGGTCTAGAGATGGTTCTGATGACCTTGTCTTATCTCAACTCATTTTTAAAAATGAAATTTTGAATGTGCTAAGTTGTGAAATGATAGTTTAATGCTTTTGTGCCACAGAAATAATTTTATCATTTAAACTGTTTGCTAACTTTTTTTAATCACAATTTTTCTCAATAGTGTTTTGGTTTTATAATAGACTTAATAAGCTAAGGATTAGTATACTTTATTAGCTATTAACAAATTGACAGAACCACAGCATGTTTAAAAGTGATTTTAAGAGTGAGTAATAGAAACAACATACATTTCTGGGTAGCATTTTTTATTTTCATGTGGTGTGGCATGTGTGGGTGTGATTCAGGGACTGAACACTTCTTGTTCTGCTTAATGAGAGAATTCTTGAGGTTGAAAAGATGGTTATTAACATATAAATAAAAAAAAAAAAGCCAGGGCTGGAGAGATGGCTCAGCGGTTAAGAGCACTGGCTGCTCTTCCAGAGGATCTGAGTTCAATTCCCAGCAACCACATGGTGGCTCACAACCATCCATAATGGGATCTTGTGCCCTCTTCTGGCCTGCAGGGACACATGCAGACAGAACATTGTATATGTAATAAATAAATCTTTGAAGAAAAGAAAAAGCCATAGAGTGTCTTCAGCATTTTCAAGTGTCCATCCCTTCAGACTTTTGGATTGACCAGTTACTGTATGTATCTTACTGTAAATTGTTGACCAGTCAGTATTATGGTAAATTTTATATGGTTGATATAAAGAAGAGTAATTACTATGCTAAGCACTATTAGTGATACGCATTTATTAACAATTTTATTTTAGGTTTTTGTTTGCTTGTTTTTACATTATGAGGGTCAAACACAAGGCCTCATATGTTCTAGGCAAGTATTCTGTCATTCAGCTACACACTTTCTCTGCTCTTCCCATAAACTGAAAGAAATAGGTAACTACTTTTCTGAGGAAGTGACCAGTTGTTTATTGCATCTTCCTGGAAGTGGTGGTGCCAGATGATGAACTGAACTGCTAATGTTGTTGTTCTGTCTTGGAGAAGTGTAGGAGAGAAGCAAAGGGGAAGAAGGCATGGGGACAGGAATTGATTCATCATTCTCACTCATTTGAAACATTTTTAAAATGTGGACATTACAAACATCTTTATGATTTTTGAAGGGTTTTGGTCATAAGATCACTTCCAGCTTGAGAAAGTTCTGTGTTAAAAATAAAGTTCTGTGGTTCATTAGGTCTGTGGTGTTTTCTGTTAGACTTGAAGAAGGGGAGAGTTTTAATTCTACTAAATTGTAATGCGTTTGGCTTGTTTAGCAATCTAATACTGGCATCTGAGTAGATGGAAACAACTTTTTCTTCCATCTCGTCCACAGGGGGCATTTCTGACAAGTTGTTGTGAAATGTCTTGAGTTGCTTGAAGTGATACAGACTGTATAGCTCAGCTCAAGTGTCAGTGGACTGGAAGAAAACAAATGCTTGTTATGTTGAACTGTGTTGTACTTGGCTGTCACTTATCCACTGCTGCTAGCTCTTTCTCCTTTGTCAGATGCTCTTAAAATGTTTTCCACATAGTTTTAATTATCCTCTTTACATTAGCTCCTATATGCATATATCAATAAAACTGATCTGTTCTAAGACGGAAAGGTAAGAGGGAGGGCAAACCAAGAAAAATAATTAAATCGACAAAATGTATAGGTTGAAAAATACCTCCGATAAATTGAAAACATGAGAGCAGTGTTGTAAAATGAAATCCATAGCTATGTCTGCCACTACCCAGGCAAAGAAATCTGCAGCTGAAATTAACTAACAGCAAGCACCTGATATCCAAACTCATACTTAAAATCACACTGTCTTAAGCTGTGTGAGTCAGCCAGAGGCTACCACTGTAAGTGAAGGATGTGATGTTGCAAGTCATAAAAGATTTATGGGTTCTTAGACATGATCATGGTGAGAAGGATTGCACTCTAAACACATTTTCTTTATTATTTTTCAAGTCTACCCTAAAATAGATTTTGTGAGATTAAGTAATTCAACCACAAATTTATTTTGACATTTTAGTTTGAATTGATTTATCTGAATTGTTTTTATATTTCTATTAATATGATTCATGATTAAACTATTACAGTTATTTCAGATGTTAATCTAGATTTCCAAAGATTATTACAAATTTCATATTCTTAAGAAAGGACCAGGCTATTTTTTTAATCTAGCACAAATTTAAGTATTTGCCATTCTTAATAATGCTTACTCAATAAAACTTCATTTTTGTATTGGGAAGTAATTTTTTACTTAATTGGTGCATATTTCTTGAATACATTAAATTTTAGTGATTCAATAAATATCTTCGAAGAACTTTTAAGAATTAATGTTCAGTTTATATAATTAAATAAGTCAAGCAAAAATGAATCTCAAGACAGTTTAACAGCATTAGAACTAAAGTCTGTTTGAGGTACTACAATTTCTGTAAGCAGCTTCAAAGTGTTATTGTAAGTGATATTTTAAAGTTGCATGCGTCCATCTTTCTGTAACTGCTTTGTTTTTCAGGTATATTCTGCATAATCTTTCAAGGTTCTCTAGTTTGAGAATTACTTTATTAAAATAACAAATTTAAGAAGTTAACAGTTATTTCACTGTGAAGATCAGGGCCTTCAGCGCTTTTGAGCAAAGGAGCATTTTGTTGCCCTTTAATGTTGAGCTTGTTCAAGAAGGGGCTGCCACATGTGTGCATGTGCAGACACAAACTGTGGTGCCCAGGGAAGGTTGCTGGCAGTGGAACTCTAGACCATTCCCAAGTTGAGGATGCCACCTGGCTGTATTCCTTGTCCCACTTGGGAATTTCAGGAAACTGAGGCAAGACGTTTTTGGCGCAGAGGGGGATGTGGCTGCGGCAGCTGGCTTGGAGACATGTCAGGTAAGGCTGAAATAGCTATTAGATATGACTCTGTGGCCGGGGAATTCCTGGTTAATCTGCCTGTTAGACTTGAGAGTTCCAGTTGTGGGTTTCCTGTGTGTATTGTATTATGTTGGCTGCCTTGTCCCTGATCTGAAGGGGGATTGGGTGGGAAGGGGTAGACTACCTTCAATGATAGGTGGCAGATTCAGTGACCTACATCTGTAGCAAAGGTTCCTGCAGTTCTTGGATAAGATTGTACTGTTGATATTGACTATGACTTGATACATTTCAAACATGGACAGCTCTACTAAAGTAGTCCTATGGTTTTCCATATACTTTGAAATCTGAAATGTCCTTGTTTAGCGACATTTAAGGGGCAGAAAACAATTACAGAAGTAAAGACTGT